CTTAATGCGGGCTGCCAGTGCTCGCAGTCGATCCGAATCGACTAAGCGAGAGGTACCTGCAGCCAGCAGGCCTGGATGGGGCAAGGAGCACCGTCTTGGGCGGCGCTCTGGCAGGCGCCACCGTCTCCACTCCCTCAGGGTTCTTCCTGAAATGAGGGTGGAGTCCAATCTGGATTCGACTGCAGGCAATCCTGGGCAAGAAGGTAACATCGCCTGCTGGTGTATGCGCCGCAGGCGTAGCAGAAAATCAACGGTTTCAGAGATTTGCTCAGCGTGGTAAATCCCAACTTATGGCGCCTCTCGCTCTCAGCTCCCGACAGGCACTTGAGAGCGGTGGACAACCCAGCACAACCATTCATAGGTCGGGACTCGCCGCCGAACGAAATCATGTAACATTTGCTGCAGCGGTGGGCACTTTGCTCACCCTCGAGCTCCTCCCATTCATGCCAGACAGGGGGAGGCGGCACGCGAAGCAAGCGCTGCTCTGGAGGGTGCCGCTCGAACAGTTTAGGAAAGAGCGAAAGCACCCGTCCAGTCATTTTAGCGCGCGAGCGGACGGTCAGTACCTTCCTATCCATCATCCCCAGATCAGCAGGTGCAGGCTGAGATTGGAGCGAGAGGGCGAATTTGGCCAGGCGGTCGGCATCTTGGTTAGCCAAAGCTACTCGCCTCTGCTCAGGGGGCAAAGCCTGGATTACATCGTCCGAGCGGTGGGCGGGGGTGTGGCTAGCCTTTCCTAGGGCGTCGAAGCAATGCCCCTGCTGCGCGGCGCGGCGGAAGCCTGCGAACATCTCCGTCGGGCAGAGTTGGGCGGCATCCGACAAATTGCGCAGGCGAACCGCTCCCATGCAATCACTAAATGGGGAACGCATGCCCGAGCTGAAAGCACAGGCCGTGGCAAGACCGAGGTTTTCAGCCGCCTGCGGTGTTTGATTGAACTCGGGCCAAACGGGGGCCCAACAACGGGTCCGAACCTGGTAAGCCCCCCCTGGTTCCAGAAAAAAAACACCCGCGAACGCAGCGCGGCTGAATTCTAGCATGGGGCATTGGGTCGCAGAGCCGTCGACCGCCAAGTCACAGCTCTCGCTTAGTCTAACAAACTCCTCGCAAGACAATGGCCGCCCATCAGGATCCTGGAAGAGGGGGTCGGTCTTCGCCGCAGGAGGGGGGGGGGGGGGGAGTCAACATCGGGCTGGGCCATCATCAAACGAGTCCAGAAAAGTCTGGCATCGGGCTCACTTTTGCGTGCTGCTTCAATGATCTCGGGAGCTAAGGCTTCGCTACGGGCCTCGGCTACCTCATGATCGTTGCAGAGCCACTGGCGATGAAAAAGCAAATCGCTTTGCCCGCGCTTCGGGCACTTGCCATCTGAAATATATCCTGATTCCTGGAGGCGGTCGGCTGTCCAACAGCCGTTATAACAAAAGGCGTAGATCCAGTGCTTGGCTCGCGGCGCGATTCGCTTCGATCGAAGGAGGGGGCGGGGCGGGTCCACACGCACGCACGCGCGCACCCGCGAAGGAGGGGGGCTCGCCGCGAGTCGTCGCTCGTGGGATCTCTGGACTCCTAACTGCAACGTGTTGGCGATCATAACAGGGCTATTATGCATAAGGTCTATCATATACCCTCTGTCATCTTGCCACACGTGAAAACTACGGGCTTTCCACCCAATGCGCTCCAAGCTCAGAAGCACGCGATGACCTGGCCCCCGAGAGCACCGCCACTCAGAAGCTCCCAATCGAAGATCCTGGGCCTCAAGATTCCTCCAAAGCCTGATGTGGTCGCGAAAGGAGAAAGGGCTGGTGGATGGTGTCGTCAAGCTGCGCCACAAGCTGGTCGACCATTGGCGAGCAGGTGCTGCTGCCTGCAACCAAGCGGGATCTCCGTGAATGCATGGTTTAGCCGTGAGCGAAGCGCCTCGATGTGCGGGTGGGTAGCTAGAAAGTAAAACACCGCGAAGCTCATTGAGCTCCTGGTCGGACAGCCCCAGGAACATGGACCCATATCCAGCAGACGGTCTGACCCCGCAGATATAAATCTTGTTCATCCGCGATGGGTCCCTGGGGAGTTGTCTTCACACATGTCGAAGGAAACTGTGGCGTTTGTGCATGTCTGCAAACCTGACTCTCCTTTTTGCACGGCCTCCTTTTGCAAGCTCCCCCCTGTCCTGGCGCCAAGTCGCAGCCCAGGGAGACGGTGGAGGCACTGGCGAGCGACGGGCAAAAAGGTGCCAATTTCTTGGCCAGCCGTGCAGCCACATCGCTGGATGATGCAAACGTCGATGCCTTATCAGCAGCTAGCTGCACTCCCAGCCGGTGCTGAAAAATGTACTGCATGTCGGCGGCGGCCGTGACTAACTTCGGGATGATGGCATCTTCACTGCCGAAAGAAAGAATAGTGTTATCGTCGATGAAGGACCCCGGGGACTCTTGTTGAGGGTTCCGAATCGCAAACTGATCAAACTCAAACATCGTGTAGACTTTGGCGAAGACATCGTTATATGTATATATATATATATATATATCCTGCAGGGAGCCCTGATACCGCAAACTGGGGAAGAGGGCTGTAGTGGGATCCCAGACGAAGAATCCTGGGGCTTCTCCAGGGGGTGTAGATGGTTTTGGTGAGCACTCGAAGGATACCCCAGTACTCGGCACGTACACGGAGCCACGACAACCTGAACGATTCATAATACTTCAACCCGTCTCAGACGAAGCCAGCCGTGACCTGACCTAGCGACTGGGCCTTTTCAGCCAACATGCACTGCTGCCACACCGCTGCTTCTGACGACTGTCCTGCGCCAAACGACCAGCACGAACGATGGGATCGAGTCATGAAGTCGTCGATTTCAGGTCGGCGTAAAAGTTGCCAAACTCGAACGGGCGCAGCGAGAAGTAAAATCGGTCGTAGACCTCCCTTGGGTTTCTCGAGCAGCGGTAGCAGCATCCATAGTAACTGCATGGAAAACATCCCTAGTCTTTCGACAGCCTCGATCAAATAGCCATCACGCGCAAGTCTTCATCACTGAGAAGACTGAAATGGCGCACGTGGAGGCCGCCAAGTGACTGGGCCGTGCGGGCACTGAATGATCTCGACGCCTCGGGGATCTGATCTGGGCCAGCTCTAGTGAAACACGTCCTGTCAGGGATCCTGGCCTCTGGCGGGGCAATCTGAGCCTTCCAAAAACCTCCGAGTTGGGCAGATTCGGCCACGGGGGGCTTGGCGGGGTCCGAGGAGAAAATACCTGAAGCTATCTGGGTTGTAGTGGTGTGCCACTTCCGTTGGAGCTTGGTGAACCTGTGCATGAGCCTTGCGGAGCCTGACAGAGCCTCCTGTTGCCATGCGTCCCAAGACTGTTGGTGGAGCTTCTCCCTGATGTCATTGGCACCGGCGAGGTCCCCCTGAACCATATCCAAAAAATACTCTGCTCGATCGCGCCGCTCCTGCATCTGGGGATGGTCTAAACGCCATTCGGCCGCCAGGGCCCGCATCTCCCTCAAAGACGCATCAAGTCTGATGTTGAGACCTTCCCCTGGGCAGGAATGTTGCAAGGATACCTGCAGGACCGCGGCCTGGGCCTCGCCCTCTGCCAGGCCGACGGTGGACTGCGCAAACTCGGCATACGCGTGGTATAGCCATCACCACCCAGAACAAACGTGGAGCTGATCGCCGACATGCTTGGGACGATAGAGGAGGGGAGCCCAGGACGCCTTGATCGTGTTTCCCCGATGGCCCAGGACCTTGGATTCGACCCCTAGGAAACGGACCAGCTCCAATTCAGCACAATCGATGAAGGTGGCCCATGCTGCATTCAAGGTCGCCCATGCCCCATCAGCAGGACTGCGTTGGGCAAGGGCAACATCATGCGCAGCCTGATGGAGGGCCCCAGCCCAGCACCCAGGCGCAGGACATGGTCCAAACGGCAAGGCGGTGGGCAGCTTGACGTAGCTGCGGCAAATCAACTGCTTGACACTGAGTGCGTCAGGGCGCACTTGCATAACCCCAGGGCGGCGTGGCTTAAAATCCCACTGCATATCTGCTTGCGCGCCTGACATCAATCTAGCAACACCTGCTCCCAGAACGAAGTAGTCGAGGATCAAACTCGAGGTGGGGCTTCGACGCGTGGGCGCTGTGGGTGCCATAGGGAGCATACCCAATTTGCGAACGAATCCAGAGCCTTCCAACACTTCAGGGGTCATAGTCCAGTCCCCATGCGATAACCGAGTGAGTGGGATCAGTAACCGCCCGACCCAGGTTGGAAAACAAACTTAGGTTGAAATCGCCGAGGCCCTCCGCAGACTTGAGGTAGACCGAGAAGAGCGATATGGTGGGCCATCCAGGGAAATCCACGAGGACCTTCATGAGCCTGCGCGGAGCTATCGGCGCCCCCCCCCCCCCTGGCGGCCACCCGAGGCCGATGCTAAGCCTCCCGAGGACGGCAGCGCCCGCGGACTTCTTACCTGTGTCGGCGTTGAGGTAGCTGGGCGCGAACAACGCGTGCCAACGGAGTCTGCGCGCCTCGGCCGTGGCTCTGCCAATGAAGGCTTCGCTGGTGCCCACTTCTTGAGCACATAGAAGAACTGCTGGGCTCTCTCGAAGACGACGTTTGGGGGTGGGCCAGCTTGAACCATTAAACGTTTCCACTTGGTACTGAACACTGGCATCAGCACTGGACCTGAGAGGCGCCCCTTTCAGGGGTGGAACGGGGGCGTCTGCGCAAGAGAGAGGTATCCCGCAACATTTGGGTGCTGGACGCTGAAACATAGTGCCACCCACACTTTTGCTTTTTGGCCCTGATGCCCAGTGCTTTGGCCAACTCCCCAAACGCACGTTTGATATCTGGACCCTCGAAGCGAGCTACCATGAAGAGCTTCTCGGCCCCTTCCTCATCCAACTCCTCCAGATCCATATCATATGGTGTTGGTACTTTCTCCCCGCCAGACCCCATTGGCTGCTGAGCCGTAGGGGAAGGAGGTTGGGGGTGATTTGGCAGCTTCAGCCTGCATCTGCGCCTGCAGGAGCTGCTTGTACTTGCCGAAGACTGGCGACGCCATGAGCTGGAGCTTGTGCCCGAAAGCTGTGTGCCTGGCCAAGCTTGGCTTCTGGCTGTTGAGCAGGGCCCTGGTGTCCTTGAGCTCCTTTTCGAGGGTCTCATTAACTGTCGTGGGGAAGTCGTCGTCGTGGCGCACTGAACTCAGTGTGCCCTCCGGCGACTTGGTACGAGCGAGCAACTTCTTAGCCTCATCATCCTCCAGACTTTCAGGGGCAGCGACTCCGTCGGCGTTGGCCGCGGCGTCGGGCTGCTGGCGCTGGCCGCCACCCCCCGTCGGTGCAGGTTGGCGAAACTGCTTGGTGAACTGATCTATCTGCTTCTGGAGCTGCTGCAGCTGCTTGGCGATGCCCAAGTCAGCTCCGCGAGCCCCACGAGGAGCGTCACCACGCTGAGGACGCTGCATGCCACTGCCACCCGAATTGGTGGCCAGCTTCTGCCTGTATTCCTCCGCATGCTTCTTCGCCCTGTCGACGATACTGCGTGGCGCATTCTGTCCGCACAAACACTTGATGCGGCACGCGAAGTTCGCATTGCGGCCGCACGCACGACATCCCCACTTGGGCTCTTCGGGCCCAGCAGGACATCTGGATCGACCATGAATGCTCCCTCGGGAGCGCACTGGATGGCTGGCGGGTTGAGATCCCGCAAACTGCGCGTCGGGTTGAGATCCCGCAGCTGTAATCAGACCGAGCCACAAAGACTCGCAAGTGCGATTGCCGCTCTGAAGACGGCACTTGCAAGCCCAAAAATTTGGGCCAGAACGGCTTGGGAGGACGAGGAGGAGGAGGAGGAGGAGGAGGAGGAGGAGGAGGAGGAGGAGGAGGAGTGGCGAAGCAGCGGCATGAAGGCAGCTGGCGGGGGCGGAGCGGCGATCAGCTCCTCCGCGTCGACATCCTCTGGCAGCGCCGCCATCTCTGACAGGCAGCCGCGGCTCGACTCGCGAGGCCTTGGCTTCGCCACTCTGCACCAGTTATCATCGTCGTCGTCGCTGCCGCCGCCGCCGTCGTCGAGGTCGTCGCCTTCGTCGTCGGCGTCCTCTTTTTTACGCTGGGCGACTTTGAGTTTTTTGGCTGCAGCGTTCCAGTGAGGCATCGAGGGAAAACAAATAAAACAAAAATACGCCGACTTGGCCTGTGATAGCAAGTTAAGGCTGTTGCCAGTGCGAACGTGAGAGATGCAACAAGAAATGGCACAGAGTAACTAGGCAGGCAGCCATTGCGTCCTTCTCCTCCTCCTCCTCCGCCGCCTCCTCCTCCTCCGCGAGCAGCTCCAGACAGATAATCCCACCAGCCCTCTGGGCGTGAGTGGTTTAGAGCGTTTCCTGTTCCAGCCCCCCTTCGTCCCATTCGGGGAGGGGTCATTACGGTTCCCCACTTATAGACACCCCCTCCCCCAGGCGACCGGCAGCCCACCAGGAACCATGCTCACACCCCCACCATCCCTATCCAAAAAAATACAAAACGCACTCTGCCTCCACATTTGGAGCATGCGCGGCCAGACCGATGCGGCCCCCCCCCACCAACCCTGACAAAAAATAATACAAAGTACACTGTTGGGCAAAGTCTTGAGTCATGTTCGTGGGGCCCGCGAGCACTTTGTATTGTTTTGACAGGGGCGGCGTGGGTGTCAGCATATTGCCTGCTGCGCGCAGGCCTACCATCCCTAACAAAAACCTATACATAATGCACCTCGCGGCTAAATCTTGGTCATGCGCGGCCACCCCGTGATCACTGTCAAGTGTTTTTTGACAGGGACGGCGGTAGTGGTGGCGTATGGCCTGCTCTGCGCAGGCCCACCAGACACAATGATGAGCATTGGTTTTCGACAAGGATGGTGGGGGCCGACATGTTTCCCGATGTATGCTGTCACGTGCGCAGGCGCACCTGACACACTCTGCACTTGCTCCGATCGTGGCGCACCTGGCGCGGCTGGAATATGCGGCACACCTGACGCACGCGGAGCACGTGGCGCATCTGGCGCACCAAGCGTGCCTGGTACGCTCGGGCCCCAGGGGTGCCTGGCACGCGTGGCGCACCTCGCCCCAGCATCGCGCACATGGAGTCGGCTTGTGTTCCCAATAGCTGTGCATCCAAACGCTCGGGTGTTACATGTGTGTTCGGAGGGCGGGTGGGAGTGAGCTAGACGGCTTGCTATCTAGGGAAAGTCTTGATCACTGTTCCCTATGAACAAATACCCCCTCCCCCAAGCAACTGGTAGCCAACCCGGAACCATGAGGGCCCCCCCTCCGATACCTTGTAACAAACCATACAAAACACACTGTGCTTCCAAATTCGAAACATGCGCATCCAGCCCGATGCGGCCTCCCCCCACCATCCCGGTCAAACAAACAATACCGAATACGTCTGGCGGCGGCGGCGGCGATTTGGCAGCGGGGGCGGCGCGGCGGCGGTGGCGGCGACGGCGGCGGCGGCGGCGGAGGCGGCGCGGCGGCGGCGGCGGCGGGCAGTGGCGGCGGCGGCAGCGGCGGCGGCGGCGGCGGAGGCGGCGGATTGGCCCCCACTAGCTGCCCATCCAAAGACGACTGCTGAATATGCTGAGACTCGGGCCAGACTCGGGTGCTACGTATGTGTTGGGCGCGCGGGTGGGAGTGAGCGAGACGGCTTGCGGGCGGGAAGGGGGTTTTGATCACTGTTCCCTACTGATATACACCCTTTCCCCCAGGCGACCGGGAACCAACCCAGGTCCATGAGGGCCCCCCCCACCATCCCTTGTTAAAAACCATACAAAACACACTCTGCCCCCACCATCCTTTTTGAACAAACAATACAAAACAGACTCTGTCTCCAAATCCGGAGCATGCGCAGCGAACCCGCCGCGGCCCCCCCCACAAAACAGAATACACTTGGCGGCGGCGGCGGCTGTAGCGGTTGTGGCGGGGGCAGCGGGGGCGGCTGCAGCGGTGGCGGCGGCGGGGCGGGCGGGGGCGGCGGCGGCGGCGGCGTCGGCGGCGGCGGCGGTGGCGGCGATGGCGGCGGCAGCGGTGGCGGCAGCGGTTGCGGCGGCAGCGGCTGCGGCGGCAGCGGCTGCGGCTGCGGCGGCGGCGATTTGGCAGCGGGGGCGGCGGGCAGCGCGGCGGCGGCGGCATCGGCGGACAGCGGCGGCGGCGGCGGCGGCGGCGGCGGCGGTGGATTGGCCTTCAGTAGCTGGCCATCCAAAGACGACTGCTGCATATGCTGCGGTTCGGGCCAGGCTCGGGTGCTACGTATGTGTTGGGAGGGTGGGTGGGAGTGAGCGAGACGGCTTGCGGGCGGGGAGGGCGTCTTGACCCCTCCCCTCACCCCCTCCACCACGATTTGGAAGGGGGGTCGCAAGTCGTCGGCGCACCCAAGAAGGCCTCGACGCGTAAGCCAAACTCATGGACTAGACTGAAGCGTTGGCCACATGTTGCCCTCATCGGGGGGGGGGCAAATTATGGAGCTCAACTCCTTCGATCGATCTCAATCAGAATGGCCCAATATGGCCCCCAAGGCCCCCAAGGGCGCCCCAAGGTGGCCCCGAGAGGTGCCCAGGAGGCCCCGAGAGGCCATCTAAGATGCCCCTGAGAGGCCCCCAGGAGACCCCACAGGCACCCGAAGACGCCCCAAGAGGCATCGCCGAGAAGGCCAAAATCTTCGAAATCCCAAAAACTGTGGCAACATGTTGGCCTCCTGGCCTCCAGATGGGGGGCCCTGATTGAAGAGCCTCCCGCTTTTGATCGATCTCTGCTACAAGATGGCCCCCAAGGCTCCCAAGCGCCCCCCAAGATAGCCTCAAATGGCACCCAGGAGGCCCGAAGAGGCCCCCCAGGGGCACCCAAGAGGCCCTGGGAGAGTTTGAAGGGGGCTGGGGGACCCAGCCAGCAGCTTCGCCTTAGGCGAAGCCAAGCTCCAGCTCTGTTGTACCGTAGCAACGATAGTCCCAGTAGGAGAAGATGTGTCATCTTAAGCAATAGGAAGACCTCTTGGTCTCGATAGCAATCGCGTGCCTCGCGATGACGCACAGTCATATTTGGCGGCCGGCCGCTTGGGCCGACGCGGCCGCGGGCGCACGCTCGCTTCCGCCCCTTGCGTCCCTCAGCTCGTTTTAGAGTCGGGGGGGAGGGGGGCGAAGCGCGAGCCCGTGGCCCTATACAGCAGACACAGCAGCTAGTATACACAAGAACAGAAAAAGGGGCGGGCCAGGAGGAAGGTGGACCCGCTCGCAAGTTGCCTTGCTTGTACAGTTCTGTATTTGAAGCACTCCTCAGGCGGCGTCAGAACTAAATGTCTGGCCGGCCCGATATGGAGCATGACTCTTCAGGTCGTGTTTGAAGGCATGTATACCTGTCATGACTTGTGGGAGCATTTCTCTGTCGATGATCCCCTTCGTGTGACTATCCGCAGTCATGTCGCGGGTGTCGCACCACTGAATACTGTGCGCGACTCCACACTCCATCATCTGTCGTATCCAATGGTTGTGTCTTAAAAGGGTACACTCAGTCGGCTTCTTCAAGTCTTTGCTTGACAGGGACTTAAAAACAGACTCAGCATCTACGGTCAAAGTGACCTTGATGCTCAAGCCACCCAACTCAAGTATATAGTTCACCTGAGTGGGCGTGCGCGGCCCTGCGTGGAGCTCGTGCAGAGTCACAACCGCGGGATAACAGTCCTCCAGATTATGGCTGCTGCTAGCGTGTCTGCTGAATAGCTCGGGCGGACCTGCAAGCGGTGGGACTTGCAGTGCGCGTCGATCAAGTGAACGACAGGTTTACCGGATGACGTGTTTCCACGTCGAAGCAGGTTTGCCCCGCGAGTACCATAGCCTTCGACGTCATCATCGGCGTCTCCACTCAGGCGTCGGCATCCTGAGTTGCTGTGCAAGTTAACCTCGCCCGTAGGGGCCATCGCCTGGTAGGCGGTTTTCTTTGGGCAGGCCTGCAGCTTCCTGGTGATCGCGCTCAGTCGTCGCACTTGGATGTTGATCGGTTCTTGGACACGTTGTAGAGATACAGCCTACACCATCAACCGCACCTGGGTGATCAACGCATGCGTCAAAGCGCCCCTGAGGCTGACGAACATGTCTGCAACCATCTTGGATGCCAGAGCGTCAGCGTCGGCGCCGGTAAGTTCAGGATGTTGCGTGGGGCGGAGCTGATCGATGTATTCATCGTGGTCCAAAGTGGCATTACCGTCCTCATCCTTGGTATATACCACAGCACAGTTGGTGCATGTCTGCTTGTAGGTTTTACACTTCCAAAGGGTGTGTTCTACGCATTGGATGTACTTGTCAATGGTGTCACCAGTTCCGGCCACATCGATATCATCCACATGTTTGGCCGTGAGCAGGTCGTTGCTCGTGTCGAACTCCACGTCGCGGGACGCGGGTCGGAGGCCAAAGCCTCTGTTGGTCCTTCTGAGTTTTAGTGCGAAAGCTCGTGGTGCGTCTTTGGTGCCCGCGCCTGGTTTC